CGTCATGCGCAGGGTCTAGCATCTGAGCGTGTGGATGAGCGCCTCACACGTTGTGCCACAGGTGAAGACATCGATCACGTCGGTGTTGGTGATGTTGGGGAGCTCATTACATGTCTCGGAGAAGCACTGGATGTACTCCCAGATGGTCTTGTCGGTCCTCTACCAACAATTGCGCATATCCCATGAGTTTCTAGGGTGGGTATACGTACCTTGGAAGTGACCAATGAAGACAGAGCAGAGAATGCCCTAGCAACGGATGCTGCTAGGCTCGAGTTGCTTGAGCTAAGCCGTCATCGAGCTCAACAAAAGCAGGGGTAGTACTGCATGATGAAGTCATGGTGAGACGGTAGTCCTCGAGCCAGGGGTCCAGGTTGGTCTCACTGTCGTACTTGGAGATGTGCATCAGCGGCCGAAAGCACCTAAGCTACCCAAATCCTAGCCCCGAACGCCAGAGGGCCGAAGTGATCCGAGGTGGGACTCCCTTTCCATTGCTTAGGAGTGCAGAACTGAGCCTGAGCATGGCGCCTGGCCTTGAAGGTGTTGCGCACATCGCAGTCATCGCTGATCCAATTGCGTGCACTCTTGCCAGGGCTTGGCGCCCCTGGTCCATGGATGGTCAGAGCTGCTTCTGAAGGTGTAATTGTCATCTCCTCTCATCGATGGGGTATGCGCGTTGGAGCAGTCTCTATTGATGGTGGTCGTTTGCTGGGATGGCATGGAGGAGGCAGCACGGCATCGGATGGCTGAACTCTCGGCCTGCTACTCGAGGGCGATGCGAAGGAGCTACCTTGCCTCATGGAGCCACTTGTTGGTCTTTGGGTCCGGTATGTTGGAGATGTCCTACAAATGGGAAGCGGTGGCTGCCATGTTGTAGGCCACGCGGGGGAAGCGTAGCATGCTAGGAGACCCCGTGCGAGTGTCATCGTCGTAGGCATTAGGCTACGCTGCCTGTTGGTGCACAAGCTCCTGTCTTTGGCGCTCGAGCTCTGCCTCTGTGACCTCTAGATCCACCTACCGAGCTTATAAGCGAGTTGCCTTCTCCAGAAGGTAGTTTGCATGGTTGCAGGGACTCTAGTCCTGCTGTGTGACCTCAGGAGTGTCATCGATGGTGTCCTCACCGTTGGTGTGGAAGCACATACGGGGTGGGGCATAGTAGTCGATGTCGTTGAAGTCGTACTCCAGGCCATTCCCCGAGAGAACCTCGAGGAAGGCGTCACCGGAGAGGATGGTGCTCCATGGTGGCTCACGGCTGATGAGGTGCTCCAGCTCTAGCTAGAAGGATGTCGCCGCATTTAGGATCCTAAAAGGCAGGTCTAGGAGGTAGTACCAGAAGCGCTTGGGTGGTGGGAGCACCTCACCGATGGCGATCTAATGATGGACATTGGCCAGCATGTAGAACATCAGGCGGTGGTCCAATACGGTGGGGTTCGGGCCCAGACCATGCTAGACCTGATGGGCGAGGACCTCGAGATCCACTCCTAAGAGGCCTAGTAGAGAGGATGGCACTAGGGGCTCGTTGCCCGCCGGCGTAGCCTCCTTGAGCTGATGGAGCTTGTCATAGTACTCGGTGACATAGTATAGGCTCCCGAAGTTGAAGACCTCACCCAGAGCGAAGGCGTTGGCCGTGATGGAGAACTCATAGGGGAAGCAGATGCCGCTGTCTGGGGTAGCGCCGCTTGCTCCGGCCACTAGAGAGAAGGAATCACACTTGATGCACTCCCCTACCTGGCGCACTAGCTATTGCAGGGTCAAAACCACGACAAGCATTGTTGTTCATTGGGTGTCAGAGTGTGTGTCTTCGGTGGCTTAGGTGGACTCAAGAACACAAGAATCACAAAGAGGATGCAACGGTTTATCCTAGTTTGGGCTATCAGGGCCCTACGTCTAGCACCTGATGATCCTTATACTCAAGAGCACCGAAAATCTGTGGGGTTACAAAAGAGTGTAAAAGAGAAAGAGAGAGATTTGGTAGGGGATCGCTCAGTGCTAATCCTAGGGAAGCCTCATCGCCGATGGTGCCTTCCTCCTCATCCGAGAGGAGGAAGATGACGGAGGTGATGGAGGAGTTCTCGGTTGCTCTCCTCTTGATGCAGAGCCTGAGCTAAATGGTGAGGACTCGAATGATCTGCTTGGAATCATCCTCCCCCCTCTTAGGATCCGACCTCCCCTTACATATCAAGGTAGGTCGGGTACATGGCGGTTTGGGGGAGTTGAGCCTATGGTCTACATGTGCTAGAGTCTAGCAGGGTCTTACAACGGTGTCGTGTGGACCATGGCAGTGTTGTGGAGCCGTAGAAGCTCTGGGCATCGTTCGACTACTCTGTCCTGACACGTTGAGCGTTAGGCCATGTTTGCTTCGACCGGCCTCCACCAGGTACACCTTCTAGAGGCTTCTTGGTGGCAAAGGTGGCCAGCTTGAGGGGCTGACATGTGGGCCTAGAAGCCCCTGAGCCCCTGAAGCCAGCGGAGGAGTTTGTCTTCTTGCGTCACGCCCCGTGCGTGACCCTGTTGGAGGAGTAGTTAAAAGAGCGGTGCCTGCGGGGCAGTGTTGGGGAACCTCGATGGCTCAGGGTCCCCCTCGCGCGCCCGTGCATTGACTGGCCTCGTTGACCAAGAAGGAGCCAAGGATCGGGTCCCGACTTCCATTAAAAGAGAGCCTGAGGCTCGGGCGAGCCCCCGAGTCCAGAGTAGAGGCGGCAGGCGTGCTTGGGTTTGGCTTAATTCCTTTGCAGGATGGTACGCACGAGCGTACCCAATGGGTATAGCCCCCGAGCCCTTGGGCAATCATGGAAGGGTCGGTTGGGGGGTGTCTCGGTCGGGAACCCTTGATCCCAAGGCTTAACATACCCCTATGTTAGGATCTCGTCAGTCAGCCTTTTAAATTTACTACATATAGAAAAAAAATTCAAAGGTGGACTTTGCCTATTGTGCCCAAGATTTCATGAGGTGTGAGATCAAAAAGCCCACTTTCAAAATTAGAAACTAAAATCTACTAAAATAGATTTTGTAGTAGTGGTAATTGATCCCATTGATTCGTGCCTAGTTAAGAAACATTTGTTTGTTGGAACTCTATGCTCAATCATCGAAGTAGTTACAATGGAGAGCTCACCACATTCGATAGTTTTTCTATGAAGAATCATATGCCACGGCAAATGTGATATGAAGGGCCACATAGTCAACTAAATTCAAGGCCTTATATATGTTGTAGCCCAAAACTAGACTTATTTGTAGAAAAAATTGGAGCACTTTCCTATAGGCCAAATGTTGTCTTGGTTGTGATTCACATGCGGCTGTCCTGATCAACAACCTTTGTTCTATTAGTCTCAGCTCGGTTAGTTTGTTTTGCTATCTTTTAAAGCAATCTGCTAGTTTTCAATGAACTCAATTGATACATTGTTTTCCTTGTATATGTTTCGTTATAGTATTAACCTTTGTTTTTGGTGAATTAAACAATATAGACACAAATATTCCTATGCAAATGTACACTCACATATGCCAACCCTACCGCTATGAGCACCTTAGAACGACTAAGCCAGAAAATGTCAAAGTTCAAGAAATCACCATACGCGCATCAATGTTGATGAGCACTTTACCTACCATCAAAAGAATAGCATTGATAAATCTTGCAATAAATCTATAAAATTATGAGCATATGTGCTAAGTTGTGGACTTGAACCTAGGTGGACAAGTTCATCCCCAAAGATGCTAACCATCATTTCATGGATTAGAAAACCCTAGAAATCAATATTTATCTCTAGCTAGGAGCTACCATGGCCATGGAATCCTTATCTCTATTTGCATGTTCATCGATGTTGAGCTATCGTTGCTAGCTAATGAGGAGTCCTGATAGAAATTAAGATATTTATCACAAGTGAACCAGAGATCATGGTTAATTATTCTTTGCTGGAATGATCTGGTTCGATGCTCATGGTGGGCCACAAGTGACAGTCCCAACATGTTTAAGACATAGAATGGTTGTTTTCATGCATGTTTCAATGCTAAATCTAAACAAATAGATCTAGCATTCCTGGTAATCCAAGGATGAATAAAAACATCTACGCCAAACAGTTCAATATTCATTGAAAAATGATTCCTAGAAACTAGAACAATGGAACGTTGGGATTCCCACTAGTTTCTTATTATGCTCACTAAATGCCCCCACCCCCTTTAAGGGCCTGTTTAGTTCCCAAAAAATTTTGCGCAGTACCCATCACATTAAATCTTGCGGCACATGCATGGAGTACTAAATGTAGATGAAAAAAAACTAATTGCACAGTTGGGTGAGAAATCGCGAGACAAAACTTTTGAACCTAATTAGTCCATAATTAGACACTAATTGCCAAATACAAACGAAAGTGCTACAGTAGCCAAAACCCAAAAATTTTTGCATCTAAACGCGCCCTAAGTCATGTGGTTATCGAGTTCAGTACCTTGGATGGATACATATGTGTTTTAGTTACTCTAGGGCCTTCACAAAAAATGAAAGTTAGTAAATTTAGATTGAGGGGTTCACTTTGGCAATGAGAAGTAGATGGTGCTCAGTATGGTTAGCAAGTGCATTTTGCTTGGAAATTTTTTACAGTTTCAAATTGAGAAATTACTCCAAATCAATTCATTTACATGCATGTATATGTAGTTCTGGAGAGATTGCATATCCTTGATTAACTCAATCAACACTATATTTTCAACAAGAAATTGATGCAATCAAAAGAAAACTTGTAGTAGGACTATGATAATAAGATAAACAAAAATTGAGAAATTGAGTACATTTTTTCATACATGTCACTTGGTTACATATATATCAAACCTAGACTTCTGGTTTAAGCTAGGTAAAAGCAAGACAGGTGTTAACAATTGTGTAATCTATGTGTATGTATTTACAAATACACACATTATACATTGTATCCAATTGTATTAATAATGTCATGATTCATTCCATAATAATTTCCTCGCAAAACAAGACTAACTCTTTTTTATGGTAGGTTTTCATGGGCTTAACAATGGTTGTCACCGAGGGAATTTATAACTTCATTACACTCATGACTGTATTGTTAATTGACCTCTACAACAAAAGGCAAGAAAATGATTCAGGGATGTCTAAGTATATCTTGAAACAACCCAGTCTTAACTATGATGATCGTAAAAGGCTTGAGATTTTTCTTGGTAATCATATCCCTATTATTGGAGGAGTGGTTGGATACATAGCATTTGGGATAATGTGTTCAGTTATTTACCCTTGGATCTTCCATCAAATTAAGTTCTATCACGTAGCCACATTATTCATCACCATTTTTCCAGTGTTCTTCTTCAGCAATACATATGTGACAGGACTCACGGATTGGACAGTTTCACCAACTTATTGTAAGGTCGTACTTTTCATTGTAGCAGCATGGATTGCCAAACCTGGTGCAGTTATTGCTGGCCTTGCAGCTTGCGGTCTAGCATTGATATCTCTTAATGTTTCTTGTCAAGCAATGCAAGACCTCAAGACAGGTTATATGACACTAACTTCTCCAAGAGTTGTAGTTGCAGGGCATATTTATGGTGTATTAATTGCTTCTATTATCAACCCACTCATCTATCTTTTCTTCAAAGCACATGCCAAACAATCTGCCCCCCTTGGAACAAAGAATTCAATATACCCATGCCCCGGCGCAGCAGTGTACCGCGCCATTGCCCTACTTAGTACCGGAGGAGTAAAGGAGCTACCTAAACATTGTTTGACATTTTGTTTCATCACCATCGTCATAACAATAGCTCTCGAAACAATTAGATTAGTGTCTCAGAGGAAAGCTTGGAAAGTACAACATTACATCCCTTGTATGACAGCAATAGCACTACCGTTCCTCGTTGGACCTACCTTCACCATTGATTTTGCTCTAGGTTCAGTATTGTTAATAATATGGACCAAGGTAAATCGACAAAGTGCAGAATTATTGTCATCAGCAGTTGCAGCAGGCTTAGTATGTGGAGATGGAATATGGTATCTACCATCATCATTGTTAGGCTTCTTCAATGTGAATCCTCCAATCTGCATGAGATTCCTAGCAAGTGGAAAACCAGCGGAGTTGGCAGATGCCTTCTTAAATACGTTGGGGACACAAGGAATGCCATGAAGAACATAAGCATATATCTTGCTCAAAAGAACATAAGCATATATGTATTTATAGGGATTAGTGGAAGTTATTGTAAAGGTTGCAGAATTATTTTTTATATTATGTAGCTTAATTTTCCAAGTAAACTGACATTTTTTGCATATTTAAAAAAATTTGCACACAATAGATATATAAAAATGTATGCTATTGTCATTTGAGTGCAAAACAAGAAGTTTGTACATAAGAGCTATATGTATAATTGTTTTACAGTGGCGGAGCTTGAACAGAAATTTAGGTGGGGCACATTGTGGACAGAACATTTTAATGACATTGCAAGGATGCACAAGTGCGTTGTTTTTTACTGGTAGATATTTGGTTCTTGGGAACCTTGCTTGGTGCAAAGATCAATCACAATGGAGACACGAGATTTACACTAGTTCAGGCTCTCGAGAAGCGAGTAAAAGCCTTACATCCAGTTGCTACTGCTTGTATTCTGTATTCGACGAGTTCGTGATTACAATGTAGCTAAAGCCTATTTGACATCATGTAGGGACCCGCAGAGTTAACTTACCTAAATCGAGTGTCATCCACTTGACCAACTCAATTTAAGCAAACCAATATCGGTGACTCCCCTGGAGATGCAATCCACATCTCCAATACTAGGATCCCGGTTGAGTATCATACCACAATAGCCTCCACAACTCAAGATTACATCTCAGCATCAGAGTACATAATTCAGCGAAAAACATATATTAGAAGTCTTGTTGAATTTAACAAATTAATTATACAACATAACTGATGACATCAGTTAAACTACATGTGGTGAGAACCCAATTGACCATCTTACCGATTACAACTACACTACAATATACACTCTCACTAGTAACGAGTGGTCACCTTGCCCATGGGCTTCGCCACCGTAGCTTAGATGGCTCTTGCCATTCACCCACTTTGCCACCAATGACGGGGTGACATGGCCGCCAATGTCCTTTACCTGCAAAATTACTTAATGGCAGCACCGTGAGTATATTGCATACTCGCATGACTTAATTATATATATATAGACTTAATTATATATATATATATAGACTTAATTATATATATATATATATTTGGTGGATGCAAAGGGATTAATAGGCATTTGTACATTTGCATAAAAGCATGGCATTTATTAAAGAATGACATGCTCATAATTCATGATAAAATTAACTAGCAATTATAAGTTCATGACAAGTACTAATGAGTGACATAATTAAATTGGTCAACATTTATAAGAAATCTCATAATGAAGTTTCATCACCAATGCTACGGGTCTAGAAGTAGGAACAACAGAAGGTTCCGTCCCGAAGGACTTTAGGCTTTCAAAAAAACTCTGCAGAGGTGTACAACTGTACCACACAGAAGAATTGGACAAACCATCCCACCACTTGTACTCTTTTACATTTTAGTAGCATTTGGAGCTAGGCAAGCTACCTTGGAGAGCTTGACACCTTGGAGAGGAATCTTGGTATGAATAAGATGAAGCTTTTCTCCAAAGTCTTGCTCCATTTTATCGATATAGTCATACTTATGAATTAGAGTATAGTTCTTGTGTTAGGATCTTAGCATATGAACTAGCATATAGTTCTTATGTAATGAACTTAGCATGTAGAACATTAAGCTTAATCATTCATACAACTTATACAATTAGAATTAGAGCTAAGTTGATGTGGCGGTTCATCGTTCCTTCGGGTTTGCCTGTGTCCTATGCTTGTCGATCCATAGGGTTGGACTCCCGGGGGATACGAGTAGTTTCTTTATACACTGGCTTGGTGCTCGGGTATATGGGAACCTTTGGATGTGACAGTGCTCCATGGTTGAGGGGTAGGCGGCAGGTTGTGATAGCGATGTCCGTCCCTTGTAATCCCCCATGTTTAGGTATTCATATAGGAGTTCGTAAATGCCTCCCTGGCTTGCTGGCAGATCAGTGCCCAGGGGTCTCCCAGTCCATCTTACACTTAGGTCTAGGTCTAACCATGTACTTGTATGATCACTCACTATTCTTTGCAAGACTGTATTAGGATAAAGCCTGCTCCACTTAGGAAACATTCATTTATTCTTTTATACTTTCTTTTCCATTTATCCTCGAGGTTGGTGTTGACAGTAGTTAACGGTCATCATAAATCTGTCAATATAACTTATATAAATGCATGAATATGATCACTAACATAGGTTTAGGGGTTTAAACTGACAATTCCACAAGTTTTGGTGAATCTGTGTTTTCGGTAGGGTTTACTCAGAAAATGAGCAAGGTGGACCCAATCGTCAGATCAAATCATGCTTATCCGCGATGAAACCAACTTAAGAAGACTCTAGAACACTCTAGAAGGCAAAGCACCGTGACCTGGCCCGAGAGGATGCAGGGTGGGGCCGGCTGGCCTGTGGGACCGCCCTGTCAGCCTCCACTTCAACGTTGGTTCTCTACTGCCTCTTAGGATCAATCCTACACCGTTGCTCAAGGTCGGTTCGTATCGAGGGCTCAGATTTGACGATGCCATGGATTCATGGGCCATAGGACCCCTAGTTCCCCCTATATAAGGCCACCCATACCACCCTCCTAAGGCATCAATTCTGTAACACCCAAAAATTTGCTTTTTCTGAAATAAAGTTAGAATGATTCAATTATGTATTTTTTGTGCTCATGAAATATAGGAAAAAGAATATTTTTCATTTTATTAAAATTCATCATAATGAGTAGCAACATGGATGAGCATACATGCCGGTGCATTTGGTCTATTGCAATGAGTGGTTGAATCCAAAATTCAAAATGAATTCAAATTGTTTTTGGGAAAAAGTTTGAAAATGGCTCTGAAATAAAAGAAAAGAAAATTTGAAAATAAAAGAATTTTAAAAGTTGTAAAAATTATTTTTGGAAAACTTATGAAAATTGCTCATTTTTGTTTGAATTGAAAAGTGTATTAAAACCCTATTCAAACTTGATTGGGTTCATATTTGAATGTGGTTTTCAAATAGGAAAAGAAAATAGAAAAGGAATTCTTTATTTTTCTCTGAAGTATCTTATACATGTTTTATATAGCTAAAATAAATAAAGCTTATAGTTTCTTTTCAAAACAAATCTATCAGTAGATGTATCTTTTTCACCGTAGCTCTGATTAGTGTGCTTTTCACGTCTGTGTGTTTGTAGCAACGTGTAGAACATCTTTAAAACCTTTTTACTTGCTATTTCATATGTTTGGTGTATTGTTCTAATTATTTCTATTGTTTGCTTCGTGTATGATTGCATGGATGCTTGTGTGGTGCTTTATGATCTTATCCAGTCGGTGAGCTTTACGTGTTGATCAAGGAGTTTCTTTAAAGTTTTCGACTTGAAGAAGGATCAGAGTTTTAAGGCAAGTATAGCATGGGATCATCCTTGTTGTACTATACACCTTTAATTATTTAATTCATTCTGCATGTGTCTACCTTGGCAATCGTACTAATTTTCCTAGCTATTTAATATCATGGATTCCTTGTCACCTATGGGGTATTGCATTGGTTAGTATGATGCTAGTGCTCAACTGAAACCATGATCTTATAACTTGACTAATGGTATATGTAATAAACACTAAAAGATGCTTTTTAGCAACATGGAATCAGGGGGCTAGAGCATTGGGCTATTTTTATGGTGCTCTAGATTCCTCTCCCTAAGGACTTATCTATAAGTGAACATCCAGGACTTATAGTACAGCTATGAGGGCTACATGGCTCTAGCTTTAGCTCAACATGAGGACATTTTCTAGCTTGTTAGATGTTACCTTTATGTCACAAGGGGGGGTGTTTCGGGTTGGATAGAGTGCGGCCTCCGTCCAGCAGTGTATAGGATGCATGTTATTATGCTTGTCGGAAGGGAGCCCTACATTCGTAGGGTATAGAAACCTAGCGGCCCTAACTTGTTAGACGAACCTTTGAAAGGCTTCATAGTGAACCCTGCCAACCTTCCTTAGAAGTGGGTTGTGCTCATAATGGATTGAGGATGAATGACTAGCCGTTCTATTGTTATGTTGATGCTTGCTTAGTAACTTTAGCAACTGTGCTTGTTTATAGTTTTGCAACTAGTCAAATTACTGTGTGCATTTTCTTCTTTTTTAAATGGTTCTGTTCTTACATGTCTCAGTTGTTGATGGATGACTTATGCAACATCATACTCTTAACATGAGTTAAGATATAATTGAAAAATGTGAACTACCATATTTCTGACGCAAGAGCTATAGACTATCTAGAGTAATTCTTTAGTTCCATTGCTACCAAATGTTAAAGGGAGTGTTCACTAAAGCTTCCTACACCTGCTGTTGTGCAGCTGCTGTAGTAACTGTAGAGAGTAAAGTGCAGCCATGGTTTGCCACTGCTGTTAAGTTTTATCTTGCATTTGCCAATTAGTAACTGCAGAGAACTGCTGGCTTGTTATGCAGGACTTCAGGTGGCAATCAGCATGGGAGTGCAGGAGATCATTGTGGAGACCAACACCATGCTTGTCAGAGATGCTCTCTCAGGCGACAACTACAGGCTATCCACAGTTGGGGGTCTAGTCACGGAGATGAAATTTTTTATTAGCGCAGAGCTTAGATCGTGTAATCTTAGTGTGTGCAAATGTGACTGTAATAGGGTGGCTCATGCTTTAGCAGCTGCCGGGTGTAAGTTTTCCAGTGGCATTAGTAACACTTGGGATGGTGTACCTCAGGAGTTTGAGTGTGTGGTAACCAGCAATTTGGCTAGAGTCGATGAGTAATAAAATGCTCAGTTCAAAAAAAAAAGATTATACTCGTACTAGGATGCTCGTCATGGTTGTGACTTGATAAATTGTCTCATTATGTGTTCGTAACTTAAGTGGTTATGTGTCTGTAAACTTGAATTATATGTATGGATTTTTATTGGGTTGTTCCAGTTTATTATGACATGGACTAATAAAAAAATAAAAGCTGAAATCTAGACTAATAAGAAAGAAACACGTGGAAGAACTAGGTGGTCTTTTAAAAAAACTGATG